CCCCCATTCCACCCCCCCGCCCACCCCCAGGATGCTGCTCTTGCCGACGCCTGCCCCGCTGTAGCTGAGCCCCGGTGGAAGGTGAGGGCGAGGCGCAGACCGTCGTCGTGCAGGCGCCATGGAGCGCCGAGGGGAGCCTGCCCTCCAGCCCAGCCTGGAATTCACGGTGGAGAATGTGGAGAAGGTGAGGGCTGGGGAGGGGCCGCCGCTTGCACTTGCCGGCTGGGGTGGGGTGGGCAGGAGAGCGTTCGTGATGCCGCCACCATGGGGTATTGGGCGGGAGCTTTCGTTCCATGCTAGGGATTGGGAGGGTTCCCTATTGTAGTGCCCACTTTTATGGGGTGGTCCTGTTCGAGTGTCAGTAAAACCTGTGGTAGGCATGGATTTTCCTTGATTAGATGTGCACAGCTGCTCCATTTTGATCTTCCTCAGGGGCTAGGAGTTGTCCTTGGTCCGTGATTGCCTTCAGTGTTTCGTTCCCATTACCTTGACTTCAGCATTCCATTGGCTTGGAATGGCGGTGGACTTGTGCCTTGTGTGAGGCTTTGGGATCCTTTCTGATCTCCAGTTCATTCTGGGAGCAATAGTGTCATGAGGCCTTGACAGAAAATGACTCTTTGCTGCTGGCTGGAGCTGTATGGTATTTGCAGAAGTAATGCCCCAGGAGTGTATCTAGCATGCATCCTGCCACTCCCCTGAACCTGTAGCATGTCAGAGCTCTGTTTCTCCTGGTGCTTGGTTTCTCCCTTTGGCTTTGCTCTGTGAATGATATCTTCCAGTCATGTAGGGCAGAGCAAGCTTTAGAAATTCACTTGAGTGATGAACTTTTGTCTGGGGAAAGCTAGACATATTTCCCTTCTAACCTTCTTACGGCAGGGAGTGCCTTTCATTGCCCCTGTTTTTTTCTTTGCTGTGTACATTTCATTTATTTATGTACTTTGTTTATATCCTGCCCTTTCCCCAATGGAAATTAAAAGCACTTACATAGTTATTTTCTCCCCCATTTTCTCCTCGCAGCAGCCTTGTGGGGTAGATTAGGCTGAAAATGTATGACTGCCCCAACATCACCCAGCAAGCTTCCATGGCAGAATGAGTATTCCAACCTGGGCCTCCCAGATACTAGTCTGACACTTTATTGAAAACCACACTGGCTGTCATCAACAGGAGTCATTTAAATGCCATTGTACTACAGGTGTGATCATGTGAAGGCACTGGCCACCATTGATGTCTGAAGTGTTCCTATGAAGAAGGATGCTGTGGGCACTTATCCATCATTGGCCCTAACCAGATTTACAGTTCAGGGGCCTTATGTTACGTGACTAGTACACATGTTTACTAAGACAGTTGGGGCCTGCTGTGCATGTGTTTAATGTTGTCAGAATGTGAGGTACAATAGTTTTTTTTGTTGGCCCTTCAGAGAGGACCCCAAGGGATGCATGCATGACTTGGTCAAGTCAAAACTGAGCTTTGGAGAGTTCTTGATACAAAAGCTTCTAACAAGAGTTCTCTGCCACCTTCAAACTGCAACTCTTGAGGTGTAGATGAGTAAAGATGGGAGTGGAGAGAACAAGCCCCTGTCTCAGAAGTTTGAAGTGCACTATAAAGAGTGGCCAATGAACGTCAGGAAGTATTTGTAGTGGAACAGGGCAGACTGTTGTGCCATCTGTTTCTTTCCCCTGTCGCTTTCTGACCTAGCCAAAGGCAAAGCACTTAAAATGGACAAAGCAGATCCTTATTTTCAAAGGATGTGAGTGACATATGAAAACTATGCTGTATGTTGCTTTTGAAAGCAAACTGTCTGTAGTATTTGAAGGACGGTCAGGTAATTTACACATATACAGTTTCATTGGCAAATGTACAGCAATAGCAAATATCACAATTTGAATGAGCACTGGAATTTGCTTGTGTGAGTGTTCCAGAGTGATGCTTTCATATGTTTGTGAAATACCGGGATACTTTGTTGGAGACATTTAAAAATAGTAACAATTTTATCATGTTTTTTCTAATTTTTCAGAGCACTTCCTATACAGTATTTCAGTAATTCTTATAGCAGTGCTCTACAGTAGGTGATTACTTATTATCTCTGTATTGTAGGTGGGATGCTGAGGCCAAGAGAAGAATAAGCTTGCTGAAGGCCTCATAGTGAGTTCCGTGTTCAAATCTCACTTCAGCTCTGCTCTGTAGATCAAAGCTTATGCTTGCAATTACTGTACTATAAGTGCATCCAAACTGAAGGGGATGCCAATAAACCTTTCTTCATTGACATGGGTTATGTAAACTGTTATGTAAACAGTTATGTAAACTGTAAGGGAAGATCTTGTCTCACTAACCTGTTAGTGTTCTTTGAGGGGGTGAACAAACATGTGGACAAGGGGGATCCAATAGATATTATTTACCTTGACTTCCAGAAAGCTTTTGATAAAGTTCCTCATCAAAGGCTCCTAAGTAAGCTCAAAAATCATGGGATAGAAGGACAAGTCCTTTTATGGATCAAAAACTGGCTAGTTCATAGAAAACAGAGAGTGAGTATAAATGGGCAATTTTCTCAGTGGAGGGTGGTAAGCAGTGGGGTACCGCAGGGATCAGTACTTGGTCCACTGCTTTTTAACTTGTTCATTAATGATTTGGAGATGGGAGTAAGCAGTGAAGTGGCTAAATTTGCGGATGATACAAAGTTGTTCAAGGTGGTGAAAACCAGTGAGGATTGTGAGGCACTCCAAGGGGATCTGTCAAGGATGGGCGAGTGGGCGTCAACATGGCAAATGGGGTTCAATGTGGCCAAGTGCAAGGTGATGCACATTGGAGCCAAAAATCCTAAATATAAATACACATTGATGGGGTCTGAACTGGCAGAGACTGAGCAAGAGAGAGATCTTGGAGTTGTAGTGGATAACTCACTGAAAATGTCGAGACAGTGTGTGACTGCAATAAAGAAGGCCAATGCTATGCTGGGGATTATTAGGAAGGGTATTGAAAACAGATCAGCCAATATAATAATGCCCCTATATAAATCAATGGTGAGACCTCATTTGGAATACTGTGTGCAGTTCTGGGCACCACACCTTAAAAAGGATATTATAGCTTTGGAAAAAGTGCAGAAAAGGGCAACTCGAATGATAAAAGGGTTGGAACACTTTCCCTATGAGGAAAGGTTAAAGCGCTTAGGGCTCTTTAGCTTGGAGAAAAGACGACTGAGGGGTGACATGATCGAGGTTTATAAGATTATGCATGGGAAAGAGCAGGTAAAGAAAGAGGTACTTTTCTCCCTTTCTCACAATACAAGAACTCGTGGGCACTCCATGAAACTGCAGAGCGGTCGGGTTAGAACGGATAAAAGGAAGTACTTCTTCACCCAAAGAGTGATTAACACATGGAATTCACTGCCACAGGAAGTGGTGGGTGCTACAAGCATGGACGGCTTCAAAAGGGAATTAGATAAGCATATGGAGCAGAGGTCCATCAGTGGCTATTAGCCACAAGGTATAGCTAGGGGCTCTGGGGCAAGTGATGCTCTGTCTTCTTGGTGCTTGGGGGGGGGGTCAACAGTGGGAGGGCTTCTAATGTCCTGGCCCCACTGCTGGACCTCCTGATGGCACTGGTATTTCTGGCCACTGTGTGACACAGAGTGTTGGACTGGATGGGCCTTTGGCCTGATCCAACATTGGCGTCTCTTATGTTCTTATGTTCTTATGTAAATAGGGCTATATAACAAACATTCTGACCTAGATGGCCCAGGCTAGCTGGAACTCAGAACGTCTTGGAAGCTAAAGGGGGTTGGCCCTGATTAGTACTTGGATGGGAAACCACCCAGGAAATCAAGGGTTGCTGTGCAGGCATGCAATGGCAAACCACCTCTGAATGTGAAAACCCCGTGGGGTTGCCAGAAGTCGGTTGTGACTTCACAGCACTTCCCACCACCACCATATAACAAACATTAACAGAGAGAGGAAGGAAGGGTGAACCTAGCCAAGGGCATGGATGAAATAAAATCCATTGTCCCCAATTAGTACTGAGGTTGCTTAGATAGTGAAATAAACTGTGTCTGGTATTAGCAGAGATTTCATTTTGTTAGTCAGTGTTAATGTCTTAGATATGTTTAGTTTATTTCGATTATAGTCCTTAGACCAGATATGTTACAGGCAATGCATTCCAGAAAATTAAAAACTAATATAAAAATTTTAAATATAAAATAGAACACTTCTAAATACAATGCAGTTTGTTTTTTCTGACAGACTCAAGTTTTTTCCTATCAGTGGGGTGATAATCTCTCTACTCGCCACCTCATAGTATGGGCATCTCTGTCCCCTGAGTGGGCAGGTGCAAAGCCTTTCCACATAAGGAATGTTCTTATATTTCCCATCAAGTACAGCAGAAGGGAGGGCAGAGCATCTAGCTAAGGAAAAAGCTCTTCTGAGCCCCTTTACTTCCAATGATGTTAGATAATCCATTGGTTGAACTGTATATTTTATACTTGCCCTCATAATATTTTTATACTAGCAATATCAGTTTGACGTTCAATGTCCTTAATTCTTTATTTCACTAATTTTTTTGCCTGTTCCATTCCACATATCAGAAGCACCTGAGGGGAAAGGCCAATCTTGCAAAGGTAGCTTTGCACTGCTTTGCACCAGTTTGATTGAAAATTATCAATGTAAATCAGAGGGAGTAGACCTTGTAGGCTAAGCTGTCCTTTTAGCCATGTGTAGATAGACAAGATACTAACCCATGCCTCGACTTTTAAACATTCTCTCTCTAATCTTACCCTGGCATTTGATACACATTTGGGAACCTGTAGGATAGTTCTTAGAAATCTAGATTGAACTCTTTCTTGGGGGTTGAAATGTGAGCTGGGTGGCCCCAATGAGCCATATAACAATTGTGCCAGTGTCTTAGCTTTATATAATTTCAGAGCGGCGGGAACGTATGATCCCCCTTGTGAATTATGGAATTTTACAGTACAATTTGCAGCTCTTTCACCTTGTTCTGCAGCATAATTGCTGTGTTGGAATCTAGAGCCTGTTGCCTGTAGAACCACCCCATGTCTTAGATATCATTTGGTACCAAAGTGACACTACACCACAGTTTCTGTCAGAGTTAAATTCATATGTATAAATTAAAAGGAGTCTGGTGGCATCTTGAAAGGCTGACGGATTTTTTGTGGCATATGCTTCTATGGACTTGTAC